TATGAAAGAAGAGTGGTTGCAGAAGCGTCGAGTGAAGACTTCTCAACTCGCCACCTTACGGATCATCCCACTTCATCACTTGCCCAGCACGCCGTAGAGTGTATGATGCTGCGAGAGAAGTTAGGAAGGAGAAAAATTATAAGTATTTCTGGCTTTTCGGAGGGAAAATTGTAATGAAGTTACACGGTTATGCTATATACGTTGTTACTTCTATGAGAAACATCCAGAAATTGTAAACAATTACTTTTTCCTGTGTTAGAAGCCTTTAGTGTAGTTCAATTTTTAATTTTTAAATGGATTATTTCAGATAAATATTAAGTTTGTAGTCTCAAGTTTATTTCATAACGCATTTAGTTGATGAAGAATTGAATACAAATGTGTTTTCTGCTGTGCACCAGAAAATAAAAAGTATTAGAAAAAATTTTGATATTCTGTTAGCAGAAATAAAAAGTAATTTTACTGCCTAATAAGATTATTTTATTCGAAATATAGATTAACGAAAATGAAATTTCTCTTTATTTATTTATTTTTGTTAGAAGATATAATTTTTTTAATGTGAGTCAGAAAAAAACGCTGGAGGTGTTTTGATTTGTTCTAATAAAATTTAATACAATATATATACAAAATCATATAAAAATTTCTGGGGCTCAGAGTGTCTTAATAACTTTTTGTTTTTATAACACCAATATCACCATATTTGGTATATACAGAAATATCCCGGTTCCCATTCTTTGTTTGACAATATGAAGGGAATTTAATTATTGTAGGTGACATAATCATTAATATTTTAAATTCGTCTGCTATTGAAATTTCAGTATAAACAATTTCAAAAGTATCAATGTTCTAAATTCATATGGTTTAAAAAGCCTTGTTAATAAACCCACCAGAATTACTGAGAGATCACCAACTTGTACAGATCACGTACTTCGCTTTGATGATCTTCACAAATTTAACTTAATTTACAATATTTATAATCTCGATATTACTGGCCATTGTGTGATATCTCTAAAAATTAAAAGGGTGAAATTAATTAAAAATCATAATTTTGTCCATTCTGACTTTATAAAGCTAAACATTGAATCCCTTGTTAAATTGGTTAAAGAAGAAGATTTGGAACAGGATGGAATACATGGAACAGGATGTTTGCCTGGCCTTCAAATTGTTTATTGATTTCATCATGAAATGTAATAATTCTTCATAGAGAAGAAGAAGAAAAACTAGTTTATTTGACCAAATATTTACATATGTGCAGATTGCAACCTGACTCTTTTTACATTTGCGTTAGAAGTGCGAAAGACACTGGGCTTTATAACCTTCTACAACCTTAATATTGTAATCATTTTGTATTATGTAGCCTGTTTCTGCGTTTAGCGGGGAAAAACTGATTATAAAAAAAACCCGCTGTCATTTTTGATTCATAGTAATGAGTTTAAATTATGTAAACAATTTAAAACTACTTTAAATGAGAATCACCTTTTTGAGAGATAACAAATTTAAATAACTAATATGTACATATTTATAAATTAAGTATAAACATTATATGTATAATTTAAAAGTAAAATAATAATAAATAGGATGAATAAGTAGTATAAATAAATATAATAAATATTTACTTAGATAATAACTTAGATAATAAGATAATAAATTAGATAATAAATTTGATAATAAATAAATAAATATGTACATACATTTACAGATAAATAGGTGATTGCATACATATGCACATGAACTCACATATATCCACACTCTAAGAATAAATAAATAAATAATTAAATAGATAGGTAAATGTAACGTGTGGACATGTGTGTGTTCCAATGTACATGTGTCTATTCTATAGGAATAAATAAATAAATAGATAGATAAATGTAACGAGTGTGGACACGTGTGTGTACAAATTATTTAGTGTAGGATCGTTTTCAATCGTTTGTGCTTCCAAGGAATCAGGGTGTCGTAATTTCCAATCGATCTGCAGAGGACGTTCCTGTTTGAGGCGAGTTTACAGTGAAGATTTAAGGTTTGTGCCTTAACCGCATCGTAAATCCAAGATATGTCAGTTTCACTGTGGAGTTGATCTAGCCTGGTCCGTCTGCGAGATGATGTGACTAGTCTTAGGAATTTGTTCTGCATCCTTTGTATTTTTAGCAGATTCGACTTGCATGTAAAACTCCATACTGGACAGGCGTAGAGCAGCATGGGTTTGACAACCGCCTTGTAAATAAGTCGCCTGTTGTGCATTGACAATCCTGATTCCTTAGCCAATAGTGGGAATAGAATTCTAATGGCTAATTTAGCTTTTGCGATTCTATTCATTATGTGAGGGCCAAAGTGAAGTCTTCTATCCAATATTAAGCCTAGGTAGGATACCTTTTCTGACCATGGGATGACAGTTCCATTAATGTTGACTGTTGCGCTTATTGTGGGGCGCCTCTTTGTGAATAGGATCGCTTCACATTTACGAACGCTAATCAATAGTTTCCACCTGAGACAGAAGCGATTTATTTTTTTTTATTTCGCTGTTCAGCCTGTTTGTGATGGCGCTTGGTCTCCAGGAAGATGATAGAAGCGCTATGTCATCTGCGTAAAGTGCTGCTTGACACGATTTAATTGTGGGCATGGCATTTAGGAAGATTGTAAAAAGCCTGTGGCACGCCTGCTGCTATGCTAAAAGGTGGAGAAATCTCTTCGTTGAGCGTGACACGGAAAGACTGATTGCTAAGGTATGAGTGCACTAGCTTGACGAGGTATCCTGGAAATTTATATCTTATCAGCCAGTACACTACCGTCTTGCCAGACGGTGTCGAAGGCCTTTTCCATGTCAAGAAGAACCATGCCGGTATGTTTTTTTTTTATTGAACTCCCCGGTGATAAAGTCGACCACCCTAGCAAGCTGTGCAGTAGTCGAGAGCCCCGGTCGAAAACCGAACTGCTCTTCTTTCATGACGCGCGCGTCTTTGATGTGCCTCTCCAATCTGATGAGTATGAGACGTTCAAAAATTTTACTGACCGAACTTAGTAAGCTTATGGGCCTGTAGCTAGTTGGCGAATCATGCGGTTTGCCTGGTTTTTTTAATGAATATGAGCTTGGCAACCTTCCATTTCTTTGGGAAGTGGCCCAGTAAGAGCATACTGTTGAACAGGTACATTAGCATTACTGTGGCTTTTCTCGGGAGATTTTTTAGGGTCCGGTTGGAGATTCCGTCCAGGCCTGGGGCTGTTCTGTTTTGTCTTGTTTTGATTATTTGCAGTATCTCCGTGGGTGAGATTAGCTTACAGTCTGTGGAGGTAATATGCGATTCATTAACATACTTGGTGACTGTCTCATGTACATGCCTGGTCAAGTATTTAGGACCTTGCTGGGTCGTCAGCTTATGTACCGATTCGAAATACGCGCCCATGGTATTCACCTTGTCTTTATCTGAGACACTCGCGATTCCATTGGATATTAGGGGTAGTTGTACTGACTCTTTCTTTGACCTAGCACGCTTCACTACTGTCCAGAGAGAGTTATTATTGGGTTTGACGGACTTGAGATAATTGGTCCAACTTTTAAATATTTATGTATGTTTTGTCTATTTAAAAGAAAAAACATTTTATACAAAAAAATCTAAAAAATTTCCTAATAATTCAGAACTTAAATAAAATATATAAATTGCAAAAATAAAGTTTAAAAATCTTGAGATCTTGCATAACCAGCATTACAATTATCAATTGAATAATTGCTCAGTAATACTAAAAAAAACCGTGAATTACCCTGTGTTAACTCATCTACATAATTTAAGTATTATGTCAGGTTCATTCCCAAAATGACTTAAACACGCTGTTATGATACCTGTCCATAAAAAAGGAGATATGAGAAATAAAGAAAATTACAGATCCATTTTGCTCTTGTCTATGTGTGCAATAAAAATTGAAAAAATAATTAAAACCAGACATCTTTCTTTTTTTAGTACAAAAATAATATTATTCTGTAAGCAGTTCGGTTTCAAAAAGAAAAGAGCACTAAAAATGCGCTTATTAGTTTTTATCACTAGTGTAAAACTGAAGGGTAGCAGTTTATTTTTAGACATAACCAAGGGATTTGATACACTAGATCACAAACTTTTGATCCAAAAACTTGACTGGAAGACTTGGAGATCAGGGTAGTTGCCTTGCAGTGGTTTCAATCTTATTTGACAGAGTGAAGCCATTGTGTAAGGATAGGAACCACTTTAAGTGCTAATAGAAATTGAACATGGAGTACCTCAGAGGTGAGTATTGGGTCCGATCTTATTTTTATAACTCATCAATGTTGTACCAATATAAACTGAAGGGTACCCACACAGCCTTTACAGATGACTTGTCTGTTGCATATTCCGGTTGTATGTGGTTAGATGTATAGAGGCAAATGAAGTTGGTTTTCATTTAATAGACTGTCGCTTTGTAAAAATCTAAAGGACGAACCATTCCAGTATAGGTAATCAATTTAATTAATTGATTGATTAAATAATTTTAATTGGTTAATTAGCCCCTGACTGACTAAACCAGCGAGGATAGACAGAGCAGGTTAACTGCAAACTGCCAAACACTGGAGTATAAAGTTATAAAAGTATTAGACTGTTGGAGAAGACCTAGTTTGTCAAGACAACAAAATCATTCATATATTTCGCTCCAGTTTAATTCTAGATACTGTACATAGATAGATACCTGCATTACACAAAATTTTATAACATACTATACATTACTTTACATAACAGGAAAATTTGGATCGTGTGCAGTACAGAACCCAGAATATTGGTTAAGTAGATGGTGTAAAGTAGATTTTGAATAGTTCTAATAATATTGTGAAGCATTTTGGTTAGATATATCAAGTTATGAACCTGTAGCTTGACGTCTATCATATTAACGAGAATAGGCAGAAGAATCGATAAAAATCAACACGTATGTTGGTCAGGACGATTTATTCTTCTGTTTCCACATACGATCGCTATTTACTGTCATTTTAATAGAAACGTAGTTTTATTTTATTAAATGACCATATGTTTTAAAGATGAGGTTATGCAATTAAACACAATAGTTTAGATCACACAGTTTGAATTCAAAACTTTATTTATGCTGTTATACAATTAAATTCCAATTTGACTTTACCGTGTACATTAGGATATGGACGAACAGAACATTACGAGTCATGTACAGTTGAACGATTTAGTGAAGCGGGCCGGGAACAACTTGATTCTCATCCACTTCTTCGCCGGTTGGTGCACCTCCTGCACCAACATAGCCCCGAAGGTGGATGCCATAGCAGGAGACATAGACAATTTTACAATTCTAAAAGTCAACGTCGAACAGTGTCCGGGCATAGTCGAAGCGTACGAAATAACCCAGCTTCCGACTTTCGTTTTCGTCAAGAACAAGCTCATCCTTCGGACCCTGAGAGGGAATGAGTACAACGTCCTTAAGGAGACAGCGATCAACATCGCTAAGAAGCACTCGGTTCAGAAGTAATAATGTAGGTAACTAATCATCTCAGTAAAATAATAGCATATTTTGCTTGTCCCGAGATGGCAATTCGAAGTTGGAAGTTTTGTGCCTGTATTTTGACCTACAGATGACTTTAAAATCTTTTTAGACCTTAAATAAATTATATATTATTTATTATTATTAAAATCTTTTTAGCCATAACATAGCGTGAAATAAATGCAATATTACCAGTTTAACACCATAAAATTTAAACTCAGCTATTCTATTTAATTATTTATTAAGATCACTGATTTTAATCAAGACAGACCAAGCGTTCTTGCCAATGGGCTGGCTCTAGAAGCCAAAAAATTATTTCAATAATTAACTAGTAACTCTTTTTTTCGGCTCCATGTGCCCATTGTCGTAGCTTCTCTTTGTGAATGATTCAAAATAGTGAATTTCACCAACTTTTATTTATTTATTTAATTTTTTTAACCTAAATGTGTACTGAGCTTGATGTTTAAAAAATCTAAAAATTTAAAAAATCAGGGCGCTACTTATTCTAATTCAACTACAATTCCATTCCTTGATCTCAGCCAGATGTTTAATACAATAATTACGGCTCTGACATAGGGGGGCATATTAAGAATATAGAAGGGTATGAAGCTTTGGCTTATATGGTTGATATTAATGGGGAAAATTGGAATAATTTGGCAATTTATATTAAAAAAGCATGTGAGTTGAGAAAAAATGTTACTTAAATTAAATCAATTCCTTATATAATTCAGTTACACGTGCTATTTAAAAGAAACTAAAGAAATGTATGTTGAATACTTTGATGTGTATATTAAAGAAAACTCTCAGGGAGGCGTCGGTGGCCGCAACGGTTTAGGCGTTGACACGGCGCTCATCACTGTAAGGTGAAGGTCCCGGGTTCGAATCCAGAGGCCCTGCATTCGAACCTGATACTTACAAATGGGCGTTTTTTCACCGGCACCCTGAGGGACCTCTACTGTTGCGAATTAGATATACTGTATTTACTTATTTGATAAGCAAAACGACTTTGAAAATAAACGTGCTCAAATAGAAAATACAGATATTTTAAAAATGATAAAACCTCCTTCAGCTATCAAAGTTCAACAGACTGCAATTTAATTTTTGTTTTGGTGGCATTGAACTTTTTTTCTCGCAATTTTCTTGACTTTGCACAACAAATTGTTTTAATTCACGACACCACTTCAAGCACGTTTTTAATAATTACCCAAGTTATAGAAATTCCGAACATTATTACTTATCTCGTCCTTTTATTTTTTGTTTTTAAATATAATTTTTCGATTGTAACATTGTTATTCTTGTTTCAACAACTGCCAGATCTCTAGTTTCTTTGTTATATTTAAATTCAACGGACTCTACAAAAAGCACGAACGAGAGAGACCGTAGTTAGACATCCATTGAATATGGCTAAATGACGAAACGCGTCTGATCGACCGTATCAACAAGACCAGGACGATCAGAAACGACCAGACAACACCAAAACTTTACTTTAGTACATTCGAATTTAACCTTCATCTGGCTCATGAAAAAGAAGAACGCGAGAGACGACACATAGTCAACACTGAAATGACCGCGGTGGCTAGTGGTTCGATCGTCCTACTCGTATTTGCCACAGTTCTGGGTTCGAATCCGGGCCCATAGCCCGTGGCTTTTTAACTAAAATAGTACGAAAGAAGTATTGTAAAGTGGTTTGACCCACTCGTCCGCGGCACCTAGCGGATAGTTGGATATTAAGCCCTCCTTTATGACAATAAATTTTACTTTTTTTAATATGAAATTTATTTTTTAATGGTGTTAATATCATTCGTTTATCGTTGAGTGTAGTATCGGCCTTCATGACAAATATTGAAGTAAAGAGATCAGGGATGAAGCCATGTAGATGGAAAAAACTTCCTCAGGATCCGGCACCTTCTATTTGGACCACATGTTCGAAAAGTTTTTTTAAATAGTTTCTCAAAGTCCTGAGGAAGGCGTTAAATACAGCCGAAAGCTCGATAGCAGAAAAACAAGTTGGTTTTTTTCACCTACATGGCTTCATCTCTGATCTCTTTACTTCAATATCATTCGTTTATGGTTTTGTTTATTAAACCATTGAGCGTAATCTTTAATCATAACAAACTGGTTGTAAGTTCATCGAAATCACTTTGCTTATAAAAAGTCCTCTATAAATTACAATCCCCGTGTGATGAGCTAACGTATCGTTTTCTCCAGTTTACCAAGGTCAGTGAAGCCTAAAGACCTGCCTAGGAGACGGAAATCCATGCCAGTTGAATTATGCGACCGTTCTTCGCCGCCACTCCTAAATCACGGGGAATTATGTGGATTGGATTAACCAAGGCTTAAAGATTGTCTAGCACAAAGTGAAATGTGAACCGCCTCGTTATTGGAGCCGGTGTCTCAGAACGGCACTTGTACAGCTCGTCATTACAAATACAGTAACATTTTAAAACTTTTACTGCTTTGCTACTTTTCTGCGATCCTAAAAATAGTTTTTAATAGCTAAATTAAAAAATATCCTTAAAAATAACATTTGTTTTAAAATAAGTAAATATTTGTTGGGATAATAACAAGGATAAATAAAAAATAAATAGCTGTTATCTCAAGTATACAAAATTACCATTCAATCCTACAATGTTATTTTTATTAGTATTACTTTAATCTTTTACAAAATTGACTCATTTTGTTTTTTAAAAAATGCCACCATACAATGCTCAATATTTAAAAGAACTACTTGGCATAACCTGATCTTGCCAGTTCAGACTACCTCTTCTTCCGAGCAATGACCCAGAAAACATAAACATTTTAGTGGTTTATTTTTTTCGAATAAATTGGACTTTTTGTACTTGCTGTAAATCAATAATTTAATCTACTCTTTCTGAGAGCTTCCACTGTTCGATAGCCTGACCTAGCCCTTTCAGACTACCACTTCATTCATACATTCGCTCATTTCTTCGTAGGAATACCGTCCAATACTTTAGGCAATGTAAAAATTTAATTAATTTAAGTATTCTAGAGTTTAAAGGTTTACGCTATTAATTTAAATTGAAGGAAAATTGTTATGAGCAATAATTGAAAAGGATGGTTCTACTCACAAACTCGTTTTTTGTCCGGATCACTGCAAGATCAGGTTATGTGTAGCATTATCCTTTTCAATTATTGAATTGATATTCTTACTCCATCATCCCTTTTTTATATATAATCCATCCCTTTTTTACTATATAAGATAAAACAACCCTGTTTCCTCTAAGAATCGGAACCAAATACTCACTGCCGTGCTCGAGCACAATTCTCATATCGGGTGGTTACGCTTTCTCTGCATGGAGCCAAGGAATTGCACCCTTTATTTAGACGGGACAAATCGAACAGCCTTTCTGTGCATGCCGGACACATACGCGGCCTTTGGCCGTATGTCAACCTCGCATGACCAATCCTTAATCGGGTGAGGATGATCCTTCTATTACCCGTCAGGTCCTCGAAGATCCCCCTATCTACAGTGCCCTTGATACGCGAGATCTTCCCTGCCGATCCGGCCCACCGACGCTGCACTTTCTTTTATCATGTTTTTATAGCATTTCTAGCGTCAGGATGATAGTAGTTAATTCTGTAGGTTGTGCCATTCCGGCCTTAGCCGCCTCGTCCGACTTTTCGTTAAATGCCAGAACTTTGTGAACGGGTATCCAAACAACAACCACTGTTTTGACGTTCCAGTTCATGATATCTCTCCAGCAAGAGTACAACGTGTTGGTCGATGTACGACCTGTCACTGAAAATTGGATTCAGAAGGTTTTTTTCAGAATATTAAGCAAATGACCATTTTGTACAATAAAGTCTAATTCGACTATGTAAAATAATTTTGATATGGAATATTTTTTCTCAGAAAATTAAACTTCTTGCTCTGTCTATATATCAGTGATTCAAGTTATTAGTTGTGCTTGAACATCAGACCTGACCTAGCCCCTTCATACTACGTCTTCCAGACAATCGCCCTTTTTGTCAAAGGAAGACTTCTCACATCAATTCTTGTAAAAATGGGCTTGGGAGGCTTTTCCGTGGAATATGCTATAATTATAATCATGATGAAAAATCTTTTGTTTATTTTACTGATTTTTATTTTAAACCTTTGCCAATTCATTTTTCACTTCATTTTCATATTGCAATATCAATTTAAAATTATTGAAATTATTTATGAATCTGATTAAATGAAATCTAATTAATTTATCAATTTAATCACAAATCAAAATCGAAAAATCTGGTGTACACCATCTCACGATTTCTGAATAATTATCGATTATCGGTCACTAATCACCACAAATAAGCACAATGTTTAAATTTTTCTTCTTTTTCATTTTTTTCAATTGATTATAAACTGAAAAATTGTTTTACCTTCTTTTAGAATCTGACGGGAGATAGAACAATCAACCTAAGAAAGAACCAAAGCAAAAACATCAATTAAGGCCGGTATAAAAGATGAAAATGTTCTATATGACTTTCCTCGACGTTTCGTCAATTTTTCATTGTATATATTTTTTATGTTAGCCTGCTGAAGATATCAAGATTAATTAATTCTTTAAACTGAAAAAAAATTTAATTGAATGTAAAAAGAGACATAGAGTCACTTTTATGGCGGAAAATAAAAATCTTGGCCTTTTTTAATAGACTTTCTACTTTTTGAAGTTGGACGCTGTTGAGCAAGATATTATTATCATTTTATCCTTATTTAATACTAAATCAAATATATTACCACTACATCAAAGTTCCTTGGTTTTCTCTCGCTTTAATCTTTCCCCCTTAGAGAATTGATCGGAATCCGAACTTCGCTAATGAACTTCTTATAAAACTTGGGACAGAGATGTATTCTAGTTAAGTAGAACAGAATTCCGCATCAAGGTTCCTAGTTGTTTATATGGTAATTCGACTCCGAGAACTTCGCGTTAACTTGCGCCCGGGCCCCTCTGATAATAATTACTTCATGTTAATCATTGAACGGCTCAATTGCAGACTCGAGGAGTCGTTTTAAGCTTTTTTTCTTCTCATTTAAATCAAAGCTTTGTATAAGGAGTTTTAAAACAATGATCATTTAGAACGAGAACGATACTGCTGACAAATTTGACCTCAAAATTTCAGCTTTTCATAAACTTGTCTTACCTCCTTCA